CGGTGTGGCGAGAGCGTCTCTCTGTAGTAATTGCCGTTATTTCCCCGCACGCGCCACGGCGCACGGGCGCACTCCGCACACGGGGACAAACAAAATCACACACTTCAGTGGCACACTTGTCACTTCACTGACCCGCCCCCCCCTCCCCCCCCGCAAGCCCACTTCCGCCCGCCGCGGCCAGCAACTTCTGGTATTGCTAAAAATCTCTCTCTCTCAACGACGCCGGAGACGTGGGGCAAGAGCCCCGGGCGATGCGAGAGGTCGAGCGATTGCGGGCTCGCTCGGTGCAGCATGCGTGCTAGTCGATTTTTTTCCTTTCGATCGCCAACTTGTTCGCCAAGTATCCACCCAGGACTGGCACGTTCGTACTACTTTTAGCTTACTGGGAGAAAAGAGAGAGGGGGGTTGTGTTCTCTAGGCCCCTAAGGGCCCTACGCGCGGCGTGAGATCTCTCTCTTTCGTATGCTTGCCATCAGTGACACACTCACACACACACAACCAGCTGCACCTCGTTCGCCTCTGCGCCTGCTCGATCCCGAACCACTGGATGCGCACGATGCCCCCAACCCAGACCGAGGGCGCCGCTGCCTTCGCCGACGAGGCAACCGGCAACGCCGCCGCCCTCATCCTTGACTTCGGCCGCAGCCCTGACGACAGAGCGGCCCTCGCGCGCACCCGCGCGAAGCAGACGGGCAAGAATGGCGGCATCGGCATGTCCGACTACGCTCGCCGCCGATTCCCCAGCTTCCTCGCCTCCGCCATCACCTCCCAGAGAGCGCGTGCGCCAGGGTCTACCCCGCGCTCGGGGAGATGTCCCTCACGTACGGAATACATGCGGCGCGGAGCGCCGCTAACTAGTTATGCAGTGCAAATGCAGGCGCGGAAGCGCGCGGCGCGCGCGGCGCGCGCTCGGAGCGCGCCAGCGCGCGCGGAGCGCGGGCAGACCATCAGGTCCTCCTCGTTGTCCGAGTTGTTCTCGTCCGAGTCCGAGTCGCTCTCCCACTTGACCGCCCCGGCTCCTTTAGCCCGCCACCAGCCCGCCACCCGCCTTGGTGCGCTTGATGCGGAGCTGGAGCGCCTCGTGGCAATACACGAGGCGGTCGGAGACGGCGTGGCGCATGCGCGAGCGCAGGCAGCGCCTTTGCTTTGTCGCAACCTTGCGGACGCCGCCATTGCCTCCGACGCGGGCTGGCCCGGCCTGCTGCAGTCCAAGCTGCTGCTGCGGCGGCGGCTGGGCCGCAGGGGCGCCCTCTGGGATGGTCGTGGTCAGCATTGATGGAAGGTTGGAAGCATGGAAGCCGGTGCTTCCTTCTCCCCCTGCCTCGGCCCCCCTTGCGGCCACCTGATCTTGAGCGCGAAAATTCTTTTTTCTTGAATACAAGGGCAAGGGCCTCAAGGGGGCGTATTCATGAATTCAAGATTTCTGGCCTTGAATACGTATAATACTGAATTTTTCTTCGCTCCGCGAGGTATTCAACACCTAGGGTTTGGAGGGATCGGAAGCAGGGAGATTTTTAAAGACCAACAACGAACAAGCAGGGAGCCGGCGTGATAGGAAGTGCGCCAGGCCGCACAAGATTTCTTCTTCTCGCGGATTTAAGAATTCTTCTCGCTGATTTTCCATAATCATTTAGACCGAGGTCAGACCGATGGCATAGCATCCGCTCGCTGGTAGCGTGCTTTTACCTCACACCCACGGTCTCACAGTGTGCCCCGGCAGTCGCCGAGCAGTGTCGCTCACACAAGCCGCAGCACTCAACTGACTGAGGGCCAGTGAGGGCGAGCCCATCGCTGTCACAGCTGTGCGGCTGCCACTGGTGTGAACGGTGACTCGAAGATGTACCGCTCTCCTCGTCTGCCGCACATCACGCGCGCGCAGGGCATCGACGAGTGGAAGACCCCCTCCCCGTTCCGCAAGATCGAGCGCAAGGGCGAGTCCAACCTGGTCGACCGCTCCAATACCACCAAGAACCTCACCCCGTTCGACCCCAACGGGTTCGCGGCTCTGCTCGGAACGGACGCCGACAAGGAAGACCTCGCTGGCGTCGGCTCCGGCGACGCGTCTGTCGGCGACGCCCCGCCGTCGTCGTCGACGCCTTCGGCGCGTACTGCCTTGCCCGTGCAGCGCGCTCTGCTCGTGACTGACCCTCGTCCGCACTGTTCACAGGGCGCCGTGCAGGAGACGGAGCCGACCTCGACGCGCTCCGGCTTCCGCTTCGGCAAGTTCTGCTCGACAAAGCTGCTGTGCGTCTTCTTCTCCGTGGTGATCGGTCTGGGCTGTTCGGCCGTTGCTCTGTCTTCCTATGGCTCTGCCGGCGTCTCAGAGCTCCTCGACGCGGTGTCCGTGCCCGACGCGGTCGCGATCCCGGTGAGCAATAGAACTGGAGCGCAACATGGCTCCCAGCACGCCCTGACTCTCCGTCGCGCGTGCGCTCGTGTATCGCGCAGGTTCTCGACCTCTCCAACACCACGCCAAAGAACGAGTTCAGCCCCTTTGCCGACGGCTATATGAGGCCTGAGGTGCCGGTGCCAAAGGTGGATGTGTGTGGAAGTTTCCCCTGTCGCACTTTGGACACGGCCGCAGATGTCTTTGCATGTGCTCGTCGAATAGCTGCTGCAGTCAACGGGAACGCGAGAACTGTTGGCTTCCCAGACATCTTCATCGGTGGAGGAATGAAGTCAGGCACGACCTCTCGCTTCGAATGGCTGCAAGCGCACCCTGAAGTCGCAAAACAAGAAACAAAGGAGACCCACTTCTTCACAACCAACCGCACAGCTCGCGAGGCGGTGGACTTCCTCACCAGACAACTTAGCTGGCAACACCTTTGCAAATCGCGCTTCAAGCTGGCGTCTTTAGAAGCAACCGCGGGTGGCGCAGATTTCCCGTTGCAGTATCGCGCCGCAAATCCAGCGCTGCGTGCTGTGCTCGTCTTGCGTGAGCCGCTGACTCGGACGATCAGTGAGCTCCAGCACCGTGCCACATCTTACTTTAGGGGAGACCGCCCGGAATGCCTCCGCAGGCTCTTCCTACAACAGTGTCTACATGATCTAAAGACGTTCTCCGGCTTCAAGACGTCTCATTATGGTGCAATCGTTCAACAGTGGCTTCATAGCTTTCCACGAGACCAGCTCATGGTTGCTCGCTTCGAAGACATGGTGGCAAGGCCAGCGACCTTTTACGCCGACATGCTTCGCTTTGCGGGCCTCTCGCCTTTCGACCCAGGTCTTGGCTTCTTTCGGGCAGCTAACAGTGGTAGATCCAGCGAGGAGCGCCCCTACAACATGACTACTGCAGGCTTTAGTAGTCTTGTGAACGACTTTGGGTCAGACATGACATTGCTGAACTCGCTGATGCAAGGCGACTTTGTCGCGCCATGGCGGGCACATCATAGAGCTCAGCTACAGCAGTGTCGCTCCCATGCTGATGAATGTTACATCTTTCTCAGCGGCACGCCTGATTTCAGCGCCAAGCTCACAGTGCGTACACCAAAGGAAGTCACCCAGGTTGGGCTGCAATCGAAGTGCAAAAGCCTCATAAATGCCTTGGAAAAGCAAGGCACTTTCAATACCGTCTACATGAAAGGGCCTGGGTGGCTGTGCGAGGGCGACACGTGTATTGACACTCTCTACTGCTCTTCGAATCGCACAGCCGGAGGTAGATCAAGCCGAAAAAGCCACAAGGCCAGTTCCCGAGTGGTGGTAAAGAGTCTCCAACATGAGCAGGCAAATCGTACCATCGTGCCAAGAGCATGGCCAAGAGTTCAGGCAACACTTTCACATATGAGTACTTGGTATGCCGAGATTGGCCCAAGGTGTACAGACACGAGAGTTCGTCCCAATTGGGGTCTCGGTGTGCGCGCTTCCCCGCGCTATTATACAGTTGAGGAATGCGTCTCTGTCCAGCACGAAGTTCTTGGCTGGCCAGATGGGAAGTGCCCATGTGCAGCTGAACTAGCAGCTGAATGCTCAGGTCATCGCTCTAGCTGCCACGACCATTTGTACGTCGAGAATCTGTGGATGCGCCCGAAGAACTCAAGCACTACGTATCTGCAATATTGCCCAAAACGTGTGCTTGAGTTGCAGGATACTATTGATCTTTACTTGTACCTGAACCCAGAGGCAAGGCCCGCTTCTGTGTCTCTGCTACACTTCGACAAGCTGGAGCTGATGAGACGTGCAAGCCGTGAGCTTACAGACATTGACACGCTGTTTTTTGTCAACCACTTTGACCGGAGTCGATCATGCAATGGCACCTGTTGCGGGGCCGCTGAGCGTCGAGTGACAACCATGACCAGGGAACTCGTTGCTCTGCACTCTTGGCGTCCCTACGAGTGCCCAGGACACCCCATGCTGCAATGGCGTTCTACTGGGAACTGTACTTGCAAACACTGGCCCCAAAGGGACTATCCCTGCTAGTGGACTATCCCGACGGTGCGCGGAACGGCTTTGCACCGTCTGCGGCGCTCCCGACTATAGTTGACATAGGCTCACATAGTATTTTCTTAACGTACGCAGGTCGTCGACTTCTCGAAGACAACGCCGGAGATTGAATTCAAACCTACGCTCGAGACAAAGCGCGGGCCGCTGTTTGCTCCTTTCAACCCCGACACACCAACCGGCCCGTCAGAGTTCTCTATCCCAACTGAGGCTGTGTTGTTTGGAGATTATGGCTCGTTCGCGCTTAGAGTGGTCAACGAATCGCAGATCTCGGTCACCCATGACACTGGCCTGCGCATCTATGCCGGTCCGCTCCCACTTAACCAGCAGTCTATTCTCCGTGCGTGGTGAGAAAAAGTGGCTCCGTACCTCGGAAGAGGTCATAGCTCATACGGCTTACGGGGGGTTTTCCCGCACTCCTCAGCGTAGGTACTGACATCCCTGCGCGCGCGGGAGCGCGCGGGCGATTTTTTATGTAATGACGTGACTTTGAACCAAGTGCGCCCGCTACTACCGGGATAGATGTTCCGGGATCCGGCTTCCGCGCGGCCGCCCATCACACGGGCGCGCTGCTCCGCCGCCTGAAAAAGGGCCGTCCCGACGCCCGGCGCTCCGTGGCGGGTTTCCACCGCGTGCTGGGCCACCACCTCGTGCCGCCCCTGGCCCGGCTGGACGGTGCGGAGGAGCCCTCCTTGACGAGCGTGTGCGATAGCACCGCGAGGGCGGCCGCGCGGTAGTCTGGCGCGTGGAACCACGGCAGCGCGATCTGCGAGTAGAGCTTGTCGTCGACGAGGTGCTGCGGGGTCTGGGCCATCACCTGCTCGAAGCGGCAGCCGTCGTCCTCGGGCTCGAGCATGTGCACGAGTAGCAGCCTGCCCATCTCCACGCCGCCCGCCGGCTCCTGTCCGGCTCCTCGTCCGCCCCTGAGGCGGAGGACGAGGAGCGCACGCGCTCGCCAACCTCGCCCACCGCTCCGCCGTGCTTGGGCTGCGCCCGGCCCGACGCCTCGCCGAGCGAGTCTTGGCCGCTCTGCACGTTCGAGCAGAGACTCAGTGAACGCCCGCGGCCTTCTGCTTCTGCGAGGGATTTCTCGTTGACGTCGCCGTCGCCGTCGACGTCCACGCCCGTGAGCGCCTCGAGTCGATTCGTCAGCTTCGCCAACCCGCTGGCCGCCTCTTGGCGCTGCCTCGTCCGCTCGGCGGGTGCGCACCGTCCTCCTTTGAAGGCTGCTCGCCAGCCGCACACCTCCCCAGGTGGCCACGTGCGAGGTTGTCTGACAGTCTGAGACGGGCTTGCTGGAGACGGCCTGCGCCCCCGGTCTCTCACCGAGCAATCCCGCCGAGGGGCCCCAGGGGAGGGCCGAGCCCAAGGCAGGCACCCTCCCCGGCCGGGCACCCTCTCTACCCCGGTCTGCTCTTTGGGTGTTTCCCGGTTGGTTCCTCGGGTTGTCCCCGGGG